GCTCCTTTCCAAGCTCGGTATGGTTACAGGGGACGTGAAAGAGGCAGAGGAACTGGGGTAATGATCAATTTGCATTTTCATTTTAAATTTAGAATTTTATGTTGAATTGATGTTTCAACTGGAGTATACTGTTGAGGTTAAATCTGTAAAGAATTGACACAACTCATCTGAGGAGGTATTGGCAGTTTTGCTGTCCACAAGTGGTTTAGGGTTTTGATTTGGAAGTGGATAAATTAGCCTTGTAATTATTTTAAGTTGATTCATTGCAAGTTCAGTTCTTGTTCACAATTCTCATTATCTTTGGTTGATGGTTGTAATAATTAGTCAAGAGGTAGACATAATAAATTTTATAATATTAACATCTTTTACAGAGTTCACGTCCAGTGACAAAGTTTACTGAGGATTTTGATTTCATGGCAATGAATGAGAAATTCAACAAGGATGAAGTATGGGGTCATCTTGGTAAGAGTAACAAATCCAATTCAAAGGACAAAGAGGGTGAAGCTAGTGATGAAGATGATTATGAAGACGAATATGATGCTGAACTACCAAAGATAGACGTCAAGGTTAAATTGCTTAACCTGTATATTATTATTATTACTATGCCAAATTTGATTCCCCTTTCTCATAACCTTGAACTAAATTTTGTGTGCTACAGCCTATGTACAATAAGGATGACTTTTTTGATAGTCTCTCCTGCAATGCCCTTGATAACGATTCACAAAATGGAAGGCCTAGATTCTCTGAGCAGAGGAAGATCGACACTGAGGTAATGGATTTTTATTTTTGGTCGTGACCTATCTCAATTATGGATCTTGTGATTATTATGTCTCTGGTGTGTTGGTGCAGACTTTTGGTGATTTTTCAAGGCATCATGGTGGTCGAGGTGGACGTGGACCAGGACGAGGTGGTCGTTCTCGTGGTGGCTATTATGGAAGGGGGTATGGTCACTATGGTTATGCTAATAGGGGTCGCGGGAGGGCCATGTCAAGCCGTGCATCTTAGTTGGTGATTAATGATGTTTCAAAAGTTTACAATTTTTTCAGACCATGTCAGGTTGTTGCTCCCGTTGTGGTGTTTAGTCATTTAAAATGTAAGAGTGTGTGAAAACTGAAGCCCTCACCTCCCATTTAGCCGCAGACAGATCTAGAGCTGTTTTCGTCATTTCAGTACTTGCTTTTAAATGGTCCAAAAAATAAAGAAGAGTACTTTGTGTTTTTTCAGTCTGTCCTAATTTCAGTTTCTTTCTTCCTGTTGTAATACCAGTGTTCTCTACATCTAATCCAATGAGAAGAGGCAGGTCTCAATATTTCATTCCTTTGCAACAACAACAACAACGCTCAGTAACAATGATTTAGATCAAGAATTTCATAACAGAGGCCGATTTCAGAACTCAGTTTACTACTTTATTTTTCTGTTCCAAATCTTCTCTCACAAGACGATGGTGTTGAATGTCCTTGTTCAACCATTGGCTGTAGTTATTACATTATTGAAGTCAAAGGAAGACACAAACAACCAGAGAAACATAATCCAAATTACTTGAGGTGGCAACCAGGACTCTCCTAGGGGGCTTAGAAGGCCCCCTTCCATGCAGCAAAGCCAAACTGTCGAAGAAGAGAACATCTCCCTTCTCCCACTTGAACTGCATGCTCTCTTCTTCAATGAACTCCCCACATCTCCTCACCACATTGTCTGGTATCTCTGTTCCATCCGCCATCAACGCCGAGGTATGTTCCTTCCCATGCATCCCCACCACCGTATTAAACAACATTCTGCGCCCCTTTCTTCCATCAAATACCCTCGTCGTTGATCGAGGCCCCAGCACGATCTTCACCCCGCCGTTCGGCAGCCACTCCATGTCCATCCCAAGTGCGTTGGTCCTGCAACAAATTTCGCTACGTAAATTACTGCTTAACCTCTTCGGAGTTGGAGATGCTGAATTTTTTAAGCACAAAGTTCAAACCTTAACTCAGCTTCTTCGCGGACTGATGCGCCGAAGGCATCTCCCGACCTCGACCCCTCATGGAGGACATATCATTCTTGCTAAGAGCTGTGAATGTGTACTTCAACCCCTTTTTCTCCATTTCCTCTACCGCTTCTGGGAACTCCAACATCCCTTCCGTCTCTTTAAACCTCGGAACAAATGGTGTCTCTCCCCCTCCCGGTGGCGGCATCTCACAGAAAAGTACCAATTTCATCGGAGATTCCTTTATCTAGTAAAATCAGAAAAGTAAAAGAGGGTTAACTGAAGTTTGATTCTATATCAGTAAACTGGATCAGCAAAACAGGGATTGAAGAAATTTCGTGCTAGATTTCATACCAGGATCATCTCATGGTGGTAGTAAGTCAATTCCGACGAAGGGTCCTTCATTGGCGGTCCACACCCTTTTGTACACATGGGTTCTCGGCGCCGGACCGACATAACGGATATTCTTCCATTCGAAAACTTCCAAAAAATCATTGAAATCCTCCGCCTTTCTGCACATCGAAACGTCGGAGCAGGACAGCGCTGTTTTTGATGATCATCTGCTCGAACCAGTCATTGTTCTTCTTCAAAGCCGACACAAGCGACTCCAAATCAGCCTTGTCTGCCACCGGTGGCAGCAGAACCATTGGCATCATCTCTCCATCCACCAGTTTCTGCCCTTCGCATTTCCCAACCTTGAAGTCCTTGCAAGGGAATTCCATGATGCTCTGTTTCTCTGTTAATTCCTCACTTCGTTGTTCTGATGAATTTGTGGGTTTTGTAGGGTGGAAAGTTGAGAGCTTATATAGTGATTGAGAAATTGGTTTAGTCGAAGTTCACAATGAAAAGAATCGGATCATGAATGGGGTGGAGAGTTTGAAGATTCTTTAACGTCGCATTGTAGGGAGCCGGTTATGCCCTGTAATTAACCATTAATTAATATGAAATTTATGCAGAAATTTTCAGTGCTTTGAGACGTGGGTTAGGTGAGCGTACTTTTTTTTTGTGGTTTCCTGTCCGTATCCGGAGTTTCGTCTGATTAATCTGGATCAGATCTGCGTCGTGCACTTAAAAATAGTGGGTGAATCTTTTAGCAGAGGTTACTATATATATAAGATCTCAAATTCGAAACCTTACTTAAACTGAAACAAATCGCTTATCATTTAATCCAACCCCTCGTTAGTAGGTGAGCGTACTTAGTTTTGATGAATATTTTATTAGTTTGTAATTTAATTAATTAATTAATTAATTATGATATTTAAAAATATTAAATATTAACCTTACTTAAACTGGAACAAACTGCTTATCACTTTATCAAACCCCTCGTTAATAGGTGAGCGTACTTAGTTTTGATGAATATTTTATTAGTTT